AGTGCACCACTATAGACATAGAAAAAACCTGACAAGAGACAAAGATGACCTAAGAACTAAGCCAAAGAAATGTCACACACCATTCTTTATGTAAACAAAGTGCAGCTAGCTATGCTGAAGCCTGAAACAACTTACCTAAATGCTACTGTAGCATGAATTCAGTAAATGTATTCATTACAATTAGGTATGTAGTTATTATTGTGACTGTAATGGTATAATATTATGTAAGATAATAAAGTAACTGTGGTTCCTTCTCAGAAAAATACTACTAACTGCCATACACCAGGATAAAAGGAGTACTGAAAATTACAAAATCCTATTCTTAAAAACAACCATTCAGGGGTACACACTGTATAAAGTACACTATTCTCTTCTGGGGTAAAGCTGCCACAAAATTATGTCATTTTTGCTCAGTCTATGACTGAGTCCTAAACCCTCTTTGCTGTCATCTTTATACCTCTGGCAAGCCATGCAAAACCAACTCACAAGGAAAAAAAACAATAATTCTGAAGTTCCTCATCTGTTCTTAATGATCAGCTACAGCTCCCTGCTGTTATAGTTTTCTCCTCCTCTTCTGATGGTTTTGTAAGTGTTTCACTGCCAGTATCCATCAGTGCTTGTGTCAAATTTTCGTTGATCACTAGTGGAGATAAAATCTGTGAGGTGGTATTTCGTATACTATTTGTGGGTTTGTTGCATTTTCCAGTACATATATTGCCCTTACTGAGCAAGCATTCTGACCCCAAAGAGATTTGTTTTTGTATTGTGTAAAAAAGCGAAAAGGATCTCATTGTTTTGTCTCTGATGGTAAATTCATTTGGTATGTAACAGCAGGGGGAATGAACCATTAAAAGAAGTCTGATTAGAGACTTTCAAACATTTATTTTGTCAAACATCATTAAGAGCAAAGTAAATAGAAGAGCAATATTCAGTGTGACAGTTTTATGAGGACTTGGTAAAGTGTGCTTCTTCTTTTCCCCTTTTTTAGTTTGCTTGTTATTTTGGGGTTTTTTTTCATGAAGCAAGTTTTTTTCTTTTGGATGCTTAAACTCTTAAGCATTATCATTTTGTATTAATTCAATCCTTTGGTAAATGTACCAAAATGATCTGATCATGATGCCAAAATTATTATAGTGATATCACTGATTTACTTAGTAATGAGAGTAGAAAATTCTATATATTTAATCATTGTCTTCAAGCAATAATGCATGGAAGAATGCATTGGAGTAAGTACCACTCCCTATTCTCCTTACAATCATTGTCATGTGAAATATTTAATTTCAGCTGTGCTTTGTCCCAGACAGGATCTTTGTCACTAAAATGCAAGCAGATTCTGATATATTCTATGACATGTCAGGGAGACACCACTTTGACCTTTTCAATATTCCACATTTCTTCTGGGAGCCTGTTCGTTCCTTTCTACTTCTGTCACTGATCAAGACAGAGAATTTGAACAGACGGTAATTCAAACTGGAAATTAGAAGCAGAGTCAAGCTCATGACAAATCAGTACCTGAAATTACAAGTCCATTAAGTTAATCTCTATTTTAACAAATATTTAAAATCCTACCCCTTCTTAACTGACTGAAGAAATTTTATTTAAAAAACAAAGTTTTCCTATTAATATCTTCCAAACTGCTATCTCACATTTTCTCGTAGGCACTGAAGTTTTTTTCAGAAATGAATACATCAACTTGTTTAACATACTTTCCTCAAATGTATTGCTTTACATTTTGGTTATCTTCAAATTCATTTTGCTTCCAGTTGTTGGTTACTTATCTTAAACATAATGTTAAGTACTTAGAAAGGACCTGAGCTGCCCTATGCATTTACAGACCAGCAACACAGGGGGAGAAATGTCCCAATTAAGTTCCTTAATACACAGTTTATTAACATAGACATAGTAAATTTTGCTGTTTTATTTGCAGTCTTGTACCATGTGATGACTTTTATAAACCTACCTAGACACTGTAGTCTCAGACCTCATGAGAACGTCCATTTTAAAAGCATTTCCAGCCTTATGGTTCAGGTGAAAAGTCTCAGAACAGTGGATAATAGAATCAGGCTGGAAGGAACATTAAGGGATCATCTGATCCAAGTCCCAGCCCCAAGGAAGGTCTAAGTACACTTATATAATCCCTGGGCAGATGTTTGTCTGATGCATTCTTCCAGATCCTCAGCAATGGAGACTCCAAAATGTCCCCAGGCAATCTGGTTTAATGCTTTAATGTCTTAACCTTTAAAAGGAACTTCCTCCAAATCTAAACAGAATCATGCCAGAGATTAATTCCATTACTTCTATTTATATACACTTCATTTGGATGAACAAGTGGTCCTCTACCTTTCTGTAAAAGCCATTTGTCTATTTGAAAACACTATTTACCATCACCTTCCCTTTTTAGACAACTTTACTTCAGGCTAATGAGCCACCTTGCCCAGTCGTGATTGTCTTCATTCTTACTTCCTGAGTCACCTTCTGTGAAGTGAGGGTCAGAAACTACTGAGTCAAAATGCAGTTTCACAACTGCCAGGCAAATCGGTAGATTACTCAAATTATTTTACAGATTATATGCCTGTCTACATGTTCCAGTAAAACATCAGGAATATAGTCAGGTTATAATTTACTATCATGCTCAGATCTCATTTTTTGAGATAGTATTTTCTGACCAGGCTTTCTGTATTCTTCATCATACAGATCCTTTCTGCTAAAGCACAGTGCTTTGCATTTCTCTCTTTGATTGCATACTATTTTTTCAGACCATATCTTCAGTTTTGGATGCTAAGAATCTATTCCAATACCTTCCTAGTCCTTCTCAGCTTGAAGTCACCTCCAGATTTTGCAAGCATATCCTTCATTCCAAGTCCATCTGGACTAAACATGAAAATATTAGCTCTTACCGGATCCAGCACAAACACCTGCCAAATACCACACAACACATTCTTCCTTTTAAGCAGAAATCATTGCTAATTACACTGAGCAAAGTTTTCTAAATAGGTTTGCATCCAGCCTATATTATTTTCACCTAGATCATAATTCTCAAATTGGCTGACAATACTGGATGTGACAACTGAGATAACACTACTAAATTCAAGAGATATGACACCACGTGCTGCTTCTTCAGCTATAAAGCTGTTATCCTGTCAAAGAAAATAATTAGATGACTTCAATACCATTTGTTCTTAACAATTCTGCACTGGCTACTGATCATGTCCCTTTTGGAACATACAATTTACATAATTATTTATTTCAACATCTTTCTAGGAATTAAAAGTTACTTGTCTGTTCTGTCTCCCCTCTGCAATCCTTCATCAGAACCATTCAAGTTCCTGGTACCCATAATACTTGATAAGTTGTTATTAATCAGGTGCTTCTGTAGAAACTGTAAATCATAACTGAGTGAGAGGAGAAAAAAACCACCACAAATTAACACCTTTTATGCTTCTTGGTTTTACACAGATCTTGCAGCGTTTAGGACACCTATTCACGAACTTAATTGCTTTAGATTGACAATTCTATTAATAATATTTAATTAATCCTATTAATATTGTTTTTAATCAAATTACAGTAGTCTTTTTTTATTCTAGGACTGGCACAAACTCAAATCATTATGATTGTAATAAAATTACAGTTGTTCTTGCACCCACCTGAAGAACTCTCGTATTTCTGGAAATGGGACACAGTATATAAGTCCTGAGCAGTTTATTTATCTACTTTCACTACTCATCAGAACTAGCTGGGCTCCAAATGGTATCAAGAAAGTGATTTTCAGCCAATGAACTCCTCAGTGAATCTCTGGGGAAGCCAATCCAGTCACTTCTGCATTTGACAGAATAGATAAAACTGTCCCTTTTATATATGAACTGTAGAAGAATTCTCCATGCCTTCACTAACTCCAAATCAAGCCATTGTATTGTAGTCAGCCTTGGCTCTCCCAGGAAGACATCTAAGATATGACAGTCTTGATTCAAAGCTAAAAACGGAGTATTTATTAGTTAACTGGTCAAGTATATTATACACTCTGGTTCCCTAGTGCCATGGATTACTGCATTTTTCTTACTGCCAAATTGTTGAGCAATCGGTAACACTTACGGTTCAAGCATAAGCCCCTAAGACAAACATGAGCCTTCATATGTGATTGAGATGGTCCTTATATTTATGTGCAGTTATTAAAAATGGAAGATAGTATCATATTACTTCACCCAAGCTAACTTGACAGACCAAGAGTTCATATATATATACACACACACACACACCTTGAAATTCAAATTCAGCAGATTAATACAGACTTTCTGAGGAAGATCAGAAAGGCTGTTTGCATTTATGTGGGGTTTTTTTGAGAGGATATTATTTTGTGTCATTTAACACTGAATTGGAAGACTAACTCTGCCCTCTTTCAAACCACCTGCTACTCATCATCTTCCTTGGTGTCCAAAGACTAGCGCTCCTGAGAAACAGCCATTTTCTTCAGTCCAGAAATAACCATGGGTGTGGGGGGGGAAAATAAAAGATCTGGGTGACTTAAATATACTTCCCATAATAATGCCTATTTATATAGCATATTTCATCCTGAAGAAAAAACAACAAGGGTATGTCTTTGTACTTCACAGATTTTTTTTGTTGTTTGCCAAATTCATCAAAATTAAAAACCTGAGGTGTCTCAGTGCTGGAACATGGAAAATGAGATCTCCTTGGATTATGATTTTCCTAAATTAAATGAAGCACATCTCCTAGAATCTGGCTGTAATTCAGTTGGTGGTTGCTTTTTGCCCATTAAGGAGCTCCCCTTTCCAAATGAGGCAAAACACACATATTTTTTGCCTCTCTCAGGAGCTCATGTTAAATTACTGCCAGAACAGTCACTTTGGCAGACAAGCAAGCAGCAAAATCACCCATAAACACCTCCACTTCAGCCCAGGAAGCACGCCTGCAGGTGTTATGATCACTCAGCAATGCCCTGTAACCTGGCAGCTATAAATAGAAAACCTGATCATCACACTCACCGATTTCTCGGGAGATCTGGGTGAACGCCTCCACGCCGCTCTCGCCATAGTTGCCTTCGGAAGCCAGCGTGGACACGTAGTTCCACCCAAGGGCCGTCACAATATCCACCATGGCCTGTGCTTGGTAGGAGTCTGGTGGGACCACTCGAGAGAAGAAGTCGTATCTGGTGTTATCGCTCAGCTCTGGAGCTGTAGATGCATAGCTGATTTGAGGTATCTGCAAATAGAATGAGAAGTCATTCAAGCCAATCCAATACCATTTTACACTGTATTTTTGTATGTCTGAAAGGCCTAGAAGAGATTATGCACAAGCATTGCACAGAACTGTCTCTTGATTTAACCTAATCAACTGATCAGGAAGCATCTCTGATTTTATAAAATGTTGGTCAAGTCTTATTGTATAACACTCTCACCAAGAAATAATGCATTCTGCTTTTCTCCAGATGTCCTGATTCTTGACATGTTAAGTGTAACAATTTCTGACTTTGATAGGAACAGGTGAAAAAGAAGAAGAAAAGAAAAAAAGAATTCTTACTGTTACTATAGAAGATTAAAATGTCAGTTTTTATGACTGTGACTTTTAAAAATACTTCATTTAAAGAATAAAATGTAGGCTATTTTAATAAGGTGTCGTGCATGATTTAAGAATATGGAGACTATTTAGTTAATACCAAAAACTATCTGATGAAAAACTTTTTTTTTTTTTTAATTATCTGTATACAATGTACATATAGAGAAGGAAAAAAGGTACAAGGGCAGTGAGGTAGAAGCCTCCACAACTCTTATCTTAAAATAATAGTTTATATCAACATCCAGAAAAAGCTGTCAGTAAGCAATATTCAATTACACTGAAGAGCATTTTGCTGTAAGAAAGTTTAATTAACATTTCTGATCACTTAAAAGGGGAGTTATTTTCTTATTTAAAATGGTAAAACTGACAGAATAGTCACTAGGTCAAAATGAAAGACACTCCAAATATTGCATTACATTTGTAATCTATATTAATAACAGGTGCTTAATTCACATCTTAAAAACATCAAATAGTCTTCAAGAAAGCAATCTGGACAGAGTTCCTAAACTGATTCTGTTGAGAACCAAATTCAGCAGTTGCAGATAACAGGTGATCTGGTAAATATTCACTGTCATACTAGATGCTACAGTAGAAGAATTCAGTGCAACTCTTAGGTCCTGTACAGTGCTTCCTCATCAGCACAAACTACAAAGGGATTTGAGGCAAATATTAGGTATTCAAGGATTCTGGTCATTAACTGTATCTGCAAAGACAGTGTAGTCTTTTGCAGCCTGAAAAAACAGTTTCTAGCCCAAGGGATGGCAAAATCATTTCAAAGTCAGAAGCAAACAAAATAAACTCTTATGTACCTTGGCTATAGTCATCTTTAAGAAATTTTCTACTTGTGGAAACATCTCAGAATAAATAATCTGAAAGGCTGCAATAATAACAACCACAGAGAACAGAAAAATAGGACAGGGAGGATCACAGAAAGAGTGAGCTAAAGTTTATATCTCATGGACATCAGTATTCCTAACACAGCAAAGATCCACCAAATATAAATAAAGGATAAATTGCCCTTACAAAACTTGCTTTGTACAAATTCACTTTCTTTCAGATAAAGAGATTTTGGCCTGTAATAACACAATTATGCGCACTTACAGCACGTACAATTTGCTTTCTAAATTTTCTCTTTAAAGCAGTCATTTTTTTCCAGAAGGAAAGCTATTTCACAAACACTGCAGCATTGTCGCTTTGCTGGAAGTTATTTCATCAATAATGTTCATAAAATCAACACCAGTAAGAGAACTTTCAGACAGACACTTTACCATTGAAAATCTTGAAGTCTAGACCACAGAGTTAGATCCATTAACTTTCTCAGTTCCTGTTTCTCTTCAGACATGAGATTAATAACAAATCCTAGATACGTGTTTTTAGGAGAGCCATTGGTATAACACAGTAATGTGATGTTTCAGATCAATACAGATCTTCTGTGTTCTATGAATATCACTTATCTGGGGCCTTGGAAAATGCAGAGAAGAGATTCTTCTTCCCTACTTTTCAGCTCTTTGTATTTCAGCTTCTTCTCTAGAAGAAGTTGTAATAACTGTGGAAGAAAGCAGGAGGCTAGTACAATCCAAATCAAATGCTTGGAAGTCATTTGCCATACTCAATAGGCTTCAACCACCACTTTTTAACTTCTTCCAACTTCTTGCTATCATGAAAGAAGAATATTCCATGTAAAAATAGGGGAAAAGACACTCTCTAAATCGCAAGCCATCCTGCAGTTTTGAGAAAAATGTTTGGTGCAATAGGATATGTAGTTATTTTCCTTATTTCTTTTTGTATACATCCCTCACAGTCAAAGACACTTTACATTCAATGATTTTCTTCCCAAAACTGCAGATCTCCCACCCAGAAATACCTCGTGGATTTCCTTCTGTGAAAACATTTTATGCAAAAGTAAACAAACTTCATCTCCTGTTTTTAAATGTACAATTGTATACAGTAGGGCACTGAAAAATGGCTTTAAAATTTGAAGATTTGGGGTATGTTCCAATAGTTACACAGCTATTGAAAGGACTTGGAATAACACTCAAAGAAATTGTTTGGCATGAGGACAAATTGTTAGGATTTAGTGGTTCAATAATCCATGAATGAAAAATACATACATTAAAAGGTAACAACTCTAGTTATGGACTGTAGGCTTAATAAACCATTTTACATGTCTCCAAGCACATTTTACAAGATAAAGCATAATGCTGCCTAAGCAAGGGACTAGTTATGCTCCATCAATTCAGTAATATGTGCTTTTAAAACTCCCTAAATACAGACTGTATTCATACTTTAAGTTCCACTGGTCCCTTGAGAAGTAAATTTGCATTTTGAAGGAGACCTGCAAAGGGGTTTTATATTTCTCATTATAGATTTTTCAATCTAAATTTTGAAAATTAAATACAATATATGTCACATTTACATTTTATGTAAAAGCTACATAGCACTGTTAATTGTGTACTTCTTTTTCTTTTTTTTGGGGGGGGAAGGAAAAGAAAAAAAACAATTATTATATAACTACATTTGAATCTGTTGTCATACAACAGCTGTCACATTCACTGGCAGTGGCTAAAAGCATTCACTTTGAATATTCACTGATACTATTTTTCTATTCTTTCCTACCCTATGGCTTGGCTGCTGCCCTATAATCTACTAATAAACTCTCATCTTTTAGTGGGTGAAAGACTTGAACTCTCTGAAATTATTCTACAGAGGAATTCACATAAGCCTTATTTTAATCACTTTTTTTAAGCTTCAGGTATTCATCAAATGTTTCAAAATAAACACTTACAGTATGGTGCTTTGAAATATTACTCAGTTTTAGTTACGTATTGGTCTTAAACCTGGTGCATATTGTACTACTGCTGGAACTACCAGCAATCCTTCAGTCCTTTAATCTAAATCAGTGGTGGCTTCATCTCATTCTACTATCTAGTCACTGGCATTGGAAAATGATTGTGCATGCTTAAAAAAATAAAACAATTTTGAAAAAAAAAACAAACAAAAACTAAACCAAAAACCTGCTGAGAACTAAGCAGACAGGCTCAGCCTTGAAGATACAACAGAAGCCAAAATCAGCAGTTAATTTTATCTTTCTTTTTTTCTTTTTAATCTTTTTGTATGCATCTCCAAGATTATTTAGTGTCAATCTCTAAAGATCTCGCCTTCCCAGAGGATTACAGAAGACTAACTGTCCACAAAGTGTGACTGTGGCAGCACTTCAAAAGGGGAACATCTGTACAAGACATCCACCAAGCATTCCTACAGAACAGATTTCTATCCCCTGATAGAGAACATGTAGACAAATTCACAAGTGCCAAAGGCAGCTAGTGTAACTTTTTTTTAATTTTAGCCAAGTGGTAAACCACTGTCGGTCCCCTATACACTCACCACTCTCAAATCCAGGACTATTCATAGGGAAGCACTACCCTGGATCTGTTTGATAGGTCCAGTGCTGGGATCCAAACCCAAAAACATAGAAGCATTGTACTGAGGACAATAGAGAAAAGGACATGACCTAAGTTTGTCCTTCCAGCAAAGCATCTTCAACACAGCAGGAAGTTCTTGGTATGCCTTCTCTTCAATGACATACTGCTCAAGTTTTGGACAGAAGTTCACTGGAACCTTTTTTATTGAGCTTTCAAATCTATTTGCATGCTACATTTGTCAATGTAAAGTATCAGCTGGCCACTTCAAATGCCATCTTCCTTTATACAGCCTTCCAGCTGAAAGCATAATTTGAGAACAGAGTAGCAGACAGTGAAATGAGCTAAGCTCATAAGTAAAAAGACCTGAGAAAGGATCAACAGTAATTTTGAACATTACTGGTTACAAGTTACAGCAGTAGCCATGCTCTACAGTCAGCCAGCGCCATGGGCTTAAATCACTTGCATCTTCAGTTTCCCTACCCACTCAGTCCTACCACTACTAAATTTAACATATCAACTAGCATTTTATTTCCCTTCTCCATTCTCTCATCACTGAGCAGTCTTTTTTTCTTTTTTTTTTTTTCAGAAATATTAGCAATAGTAGATTAAAATAGTAATTAAGTTAAATTAAATTAAATTAGTAGATTAAAAATAGTCATAATTGTAGCTAACAAAGTCAATAAACCTTAGGGCAGTGGCTGCTCAAAATCACTTGGCATTTTACCACCAACTGATAAAGCTTGCAAAAGAGTAAAAGTGCTTGAAATAAAATTTGACTGTAGAAACACGTTTTCAACTTGGTGATATTTTTGAATTTTAAATGTCTATCATTAATCATTAATGGTCCTCTCTTTTCAAGATTTTTATTCCCTCTTCTGTACAGCAAGAAAGAGGTCTTTGTGAGTACAAAAACCTCACAGCAGTGAAATGAATCCTCAGGGCCTGGGTATTGAACAGTTGCTGGGTAAGAGCTGAGGTCACTGTATTTTAGCTATTAGTTGCATTTGTAAATTGCCATCAGCCCTAGCATCATCTTAGCCTGCTTTCACTTCTGAAAAACGTGTCAGCCTGCAGTACAATAATACTAAAGTCATTCAGGGTAGACATTCAAGATTCAAAAGAGTTGATGAAGCTTAATAACATCTTACAATATACCAAACAAGAATTGAAATCTTCTTTTTCATTACTAACTGTAGGAAGAGATGAAATGCACCCTGACACTGC